GTGTGTGTGTGTGTGTGTGTGTTTGTGTACGTGGTTGACTTACAGGTATTTAGTCTCACAAACAAAAGTCCCAGGTTCGATATCTTACAGAAGTGGAGGTTTGGGTTCCCTACAGGTACACAGTAGTAAATTAGTACACCATCGAGTAACCTTACCTGTAGTATACGAGGTCCTTGACGAAGTGGTGGAGTAACACGGTAGGTGGTGGAGTAACACGGTAGGTGGTGGAGTAACACGGTAGATGGTGAGTGTCCAGGCATCAGCACCCCCCTTGCTGCCCTCCGCCCTTTACCAGGAAGAGAATTGTATGTGTGAAAAAAGGATAAATTTAAACTACGATTTACTGAATGTTAATGAGTTAAAGATCACTGAACCTAACGTAAGGAGAGAGAGAGAGAGAGAGAGAGAGAGAGAGAGAGAGAGAGAGAGAGAGAGAGAGAGCACTATTTTTTGGTCCAATTCTCTCCTACAGAACCACTCAAATCATTAAAACAAGATGACTATTTACACACACACATCAATTTCAATACCAACTAGTCCCAAATATACACACACGGGAGTATATCATACCCAAACATACCCAAGTATAGACATACACAGCGTGGCATGCAGAGACAAGATCCACACACGTTCATCACATCACCGCCTTGTAGTGGTGCTAGTGGTGATAGTGGTGATAGTGGTAGTAGTAGTAATGGTGGTAGTGGTAGTAGTAATGGTATAGTGGTGGTGGTGATAGTAGTAGTGATAGTTGTGATGGTATTAGTAGTCATAGTGGTGGTAGTAGTAGTAATGGTGGTAGTGGTAGTAATAGTAATGGTATAGTGGTGGTGGTGATAGTAGTAGTAGTGATAGTTGTGATGGTATTAATAGTCATAGTGGTGGTAGTAGTAATGGTGGTAGTTGTGGTTTCTTCATGTACTTAATCATATCTAAGAGTATAGTCAAGCTACACATTGTCAGCCATTTTTTTTTCTCTCGTTTACAGAGGATGATATGGATGACTTCAGTCTTCACGTCCAGAGGTACCGACCAGAGGAACTCGACAAGCTGACCAAGACGACCAAGTTTACCAAGAAGGAGATACAACTTATATACCGAGGCTTCAAGCAGGTGAGAGAGTGAGAGAGAGTATGACAGACAGACAGACAGATAAACAGACAAACAGACAGACAGACAGAAATACAGACAGACAGACAGACAGAGAAAGGACAAATAATTAATAGGCAATATAGTTGATAACAAATAACAAGTCAATATTATACTGCATTAAAAACTAAAAATAAAAAAAAATAAAAATAATATAAAAAATACGATAAAGAAAAATAATGTAAAAAAACTGACCTAAAATAGATAAATATGATTTGATATATTCAGGGATTCACAAAAGTAAATTTCATACGAGTCTAATTAAAAAAATAAGAATTGGCCCCACAGGCTTTTAGAGAATGAAATCTTAATGTATAAAAATAACCGAGGGAAAGATTTTTTACCAGAGAAATGTTTGACTATGGTTTGTTATG